TCATACTCAGAGAAAACTCAAGAAAGAAAGTGAATAACAAGGGTTTTTTTCCTGTCTTTTCTCAGATGCAGGTTTCATTGCAATTACTTGTGACAATGTAGGGTAACCATATGAGTCAAAGTGTGACTGGCAAGTTTTGCTGATGTTGCTTAAAATGTGTTACTTCTGAAATTACCATGACTCCACTCGCTCTCAGGATCATTAGAATGAGTACTGCCACAGGGGGCTTCAGAGAATTGTCCCTGTTCCACTTGCAGCACACTGAAACACTGGACAATTAAGTGATGTGCTTAAGAACACACAGGAAATTTGTGGAAGAGCAGGAAATTAAAGTAAGCCCTCTCAAGTTCCAGGTTTGTGTTCTTATCACTTCATCAACTCTTCCTCCCAACTACTTCAAACTGTGTCACAGCGCAGCCTTTTTCAGCCACAGTAATTTCCTTCTCTGGCCCTATGAAAAATAAAAATTACTGAGCCAATTAGTTAATAAGGACTTGTCCAGAGGCAGGGATGAAGATTTGAGGAAAATAAAATGGAAAATAATATAAGGACTAGAAAAAAACACAAAAAACCACCACCAACAAAAAAACCCCCAAAAACCTGGAAATAGTTTTCTATTTTAACAGTGCAGTTCGGAACAATAGCCAGAAAGTAAAATTATATTTACCCTGTCTCTGATCTAGTGACCTGTTAAACCATATTTAAATTCATGACTGTGATGCTAAGTTCCCTGTGATCTAAGTGCCACAGAGTGCAGCCTTTTTACTTTAAGAAACTTGTTCATATTTGAATAATACCGAATTAATGAAGCAGTCTCAGCAGCACTTTTTCCACTCAAAACTTTCTACAAGTCTTTTTAGGGTTCCCATGATGCTTTTGTTCAGGTATCCCAAAATCCTCAATCCCTCATACTGCATATACCCACTTAATGAATATCAGCAAGTTTAGTAGCAGGGCACACTGTACAGTCTCTTCTATGCTGGACTGTAGGCAAAATAACAATTTCAGGCTCAGTCCTAAAGGACACTGCGTGATCTCCTGGGAGCAGAACATTTGATTCACAGTTTTGGGGTTTCATTACTGAAACTGTAGGTGCCTTTAAAGACAACTCTTGGCTGTTAAGCTTTGAGAGACCTGCTCATCTCTATGGTGAAAGGAGCAAAGGGAAGAACACTCTTCTCTTGGCTGCTCTGTACTGAGAAGTTTTAGCCACGAAAGATCCCAGCACAAATTGCAGCAAAGTGCCAGACTGAGCTGGCAGTGTGGGTGGGCTGTGCAAGGCTTGCTACGCATTGCAAAATTCAGGTTATTCACTGAAAATATTGTTTCATCATCGTACTGCCTGACTTGATAGGGATGGTTCCATTTAATGGGGCTGTTTTATAATAAATGGGTCATTTATTGCTAATGGCCATCTACTTTGCCTTTGTAGGTATGTCATGGGCTATTACCCAGTGAATTGACTCAGAAAAGTAATTCCCTATTTATAGAAAAATACAAGAGACAGTACACATCAAGAACCCCCTCAAAAACCATTGCATAACTTTCTTTTCCTTCAACCAAGGGAAAGCTTTCAGTAACACAAAAATTGAAATGAAAATAGGGTTATTAAAGTAATTTTTTAGAGATGCCAAGAACATTTGAAAATATTTTAATCTTTCACATTTGCAGTGATGACAACATCTACTCTATGGTCAAAAGATTTCTGTGCCTCACAAGAACTTAATTTGTGCTGAGAGGCAGAATCTGGTGACTGTGGCTTCTTTCCACATCACTTTGTTTCCTCCCTCTTGGCACAGCCAGAGGTATTGTGTGAAGCCCAGCAGAGCTGTGAGATTGTGCCTTGAGTAGGATTCTCAGCAGGGCCCCTTCTGCTGAGAATTATTTTCCTGGTACTTAACAGAGCATGAGTTAGATGGTGAAACACAAAGTAACTGCAGACAGCCTGAGCCTCAATTTCTGATTATAGAAATTGCCATTATACTTTGTGTTCCCACAAGTTTGTGGTCTGTTGATACCATTTGTTTTAATACATGTAAATAGCAGCCGGCTACCATGATGATATCAAGTACTAAAAATATGATAAAAGGGCATTTGCAGTTTGTCCTGCATACTAGAAAGGAAGTTTTTCCCTTGAATAAAACTGTTTCCTCAGATCACCACAAAATTTATAAGAATATAAAAATATCTTTAAAGAAAGTCTTCAAAGCTCTGTAAAGTCAAAGAGATTATGAACAAAAGGGTACTCATTTATCTTCCCTAATATGTGTTGTCCTACTGGGAACTGGAAACAGACAAAATATCATAAAATAGAATTTATAAGCTCTGATCTTGCTCTCCTTCTTCCTGCTACATGACCTTGTAAAAACCACTTGCTCCTGAGGAGTCCTATGAAGAATTTAACAATATTTTAATGCTTATTCCCTTTTCCTCCCTGATGCCATTAAACTATTGTGCATATTTTTTCTGTTTCTGTAAAATCTGATTAAAAAAACCCATCCCTGATAGCTACCATTATCAGAAATATTTTTTATTATTTCCAGTAAAAAATTACCATAGCTGATCTAAGGCCTTTGCTACATCATTTCTGCAGCTCTTTTACCCGTAAGATACTTTGTCTTTACCTTTGTGTAACACTGAGTTGTTCCCCCTTATTTAATTTATCAATTTCTACATAAATCTTCAGATCTTTGAAAGTTCACTAAAAACCTCAGAATATTTTGGGGTTTTTTGCTTTGGAACTCTTTTTAAACATACTCTTTGATGGTGGTGGGTGATTCAAATATTCCACTCCCCTTTTTTTTTTTCTGCAAGTCCCTTCCATAGTGCACTGGATTCAGCTCGCTCAGGAAAAGTAGTGTGAAAATATTCTTGCTACTCTGATAGCCTCAGAGACAATCCATCCATTTCAAAAGAAATTCTGGCAGAAAAAACTGTATGAGCACAAATATTCTCAGCATCAAGTGGCAAGATGCATGTTCTCACTGGCAAAAAGCATTAATTCCTATTTCTGGAAAAGAAACAGAGGAATTGGCTTAATGCTGTATTTCTCTAATAAAAATATAAGAAAGAAAACTGATTAATGGTTCCTAGATGAAAGTTTGAAAAAAAAAAAAAAGAAAAAAACACCTCTAGATTTAGGTGTAAGGTTTATGTGGAAGGAATATCTCACATTTCACATTGCTCAGCTTCAAGTGCATGTATGCTTTCATGACTTCTCACGCAACCATGGTCCTTTCTGGTGCAAGGCTGCTGGCTCAGGAGAACAGAATGGATCCTGGCCAGCTTAAGGGGTGCACTGCTGGAAACACAGCATGGGGCACTGCTTCCATACCTTGTGAACAGCAGCTGTGGAGTCTGGACACATTATGGCAAAACCAGCCAAGTTTTCTCACTGCAGTACTTGGCACATGGCACTTTCTGAAAAACATTCAGCTCTCACTCTGAGAGTTGTTTTTGGTAACAGCTTTAAAGCTGATCAGTCTATAAAAGCACAATAGAGGGGCTTAAACTCATTTTCAGTGCCAGGCAATGAAAGGTGACAGGCTCATGAACTGGTACTTTACAGAAGTGTTACTGGAAACTTCCCAGCAGCCTAACAAATGAGTGCTACACCAGGGGCCCAACTTGGCTAAAAGATGATACTTTACCAGACAGCTCCTTGGCAAAAAGCAGAGGGAGAGAGCTGATGGATTTGATGTCATGTGAAGATGGATTCAAACTTGTTTTCAAGAGCAGCTTAAAATTTAGAATAATGGAGTACTTTGGTCTAGTATTGGACATATCTTAGAAATTTTGGCTGTGCTTCAGTGTTGTCTCTATATTTTCTATATTCACCTGCTTGACATATTAAAAGAAAAAAATCAGGATGAAGCCAAGTGTACAATTTTGGCTGAAATTCACTGGTATCAATTCAGTAACAGCTGTCACAGAGCAACTGTAAAACAACATGCATCTACTCCCCACCATCATTTTCTTCAAGAGATGACCACAATATTTGGACATTACTGAAATTAGTAAATTCTAGGCTCATGTTATGACAACGTGAACTACCACGACTTTTAATTCAAAGTAATACAAATCACAAATGATATAAAGGAGCATTAAAGCTCCAAATTCTAAAAAATTATTTTTTAAAAAAGGACTTTATAGTTAAATATTTTAGGCTTCCTAGGGTAGCTATTTTAGAGAAAATATTTCAAATATTTTGTAAGACACATGGACGTCAGCATGCAGTCCTTTAAATACCAGCTGTTTAGGAGTAGTACAAGAATCAGCCTAAGTTCTGCCATCACTGCTATACACTGGTGAGCCAGTGAGAGTCATCAAGAGTTTTTACTGCAAGACTAGCTGTAATTGCTATTTCAGTTTTGCCTGTGGCCTCATTGTTGATTTCTAAATCTTACTATTGAATTTCAGAGTATAACGGGGAAGAGAAAAGGGATGCAGGATCCCTATTTTAATAGAATAATAGAATAGAATTTAATAGAATTCTGAATCTCTGTCAGGAAAGAAGATACTGTGGAAAAGAAAGTGAGAAGAATCAGAAGGACAGTGGTAGAAAATAGTGTACAGCCTGGAGAAGAGATGATTTCTCTGAGGAGGTTACTAAGAAATGTCCTTGCAGCAGTGAATATCAGGAGCATGAGAGACAACAAATTGAAAGAGAGATTATACAGGTATAAAGAAAAACCTTTTTACCCTGAGCACAGCCAGGCAAAGGAAAATGCCCAAGGAGGTTGTGCAGTCTTCATCCTTGGAGGATTTCAAGACCCAACTGGATAAAGCCCTGAGCAGTTTGGTCTGATCTCAGTTGACCTTGCCTTGAGCAGAAGGTTGGACTAGAGACTTTTTGAGGTCCTGTGAATAATAGAAAATGTGCTGTTTCATACTGGGAAAGAAGTGGTAAAGTGGAGGCAGAAGGAATAAAAATGGGTAGGAAAGTGTTGCAAAATGTAGCATTGATATACTCCTATTCAGATCAGAGACTATAGGTTGGATTGATCTGCAACTGTTTGTATTTTTATTTATTTAATTGATTTCAGAGAGCAGAATGCCTTGTGACCACTATCCAGGTCACTCACCAATTACTATGAATTCTGAAACTCACCATCTGTCACCTTGCTTTCACAATGATACAGTAAGGCAACATTTTAGTATCCGAAACCCACCTGTCTGGCAGCACCAGGCTCTATGAGGAAACTGAGTATTTGTTTAACTATTGAAACAAAGACAGATCACCCAGGAAAACTACACCAAAACCCAGACCAAACCTTACACATTTTATCCTCACTTTCCATTCTGGTTTGGGCTTAATAATGAAATTCTTATTGGAGGTACTGCCCATTTACTTGAATTTCACAGAAAATCTCAATCTTTTCAGACATTTAGAAATCACAGTATACATACAGGTTCATGTATTTTCTTTGGGACAGTTTTTATTTTTTTTTTTTGCTACAATATATAATTACAAGCTTGGGTGACTTTCAAAGACAGTTATTTACTCCTTTTGCTTAAGGAAGCTTAAGATAAATTTGTTACAAATAACTTTGATTCCTTTCAGATGTTCGTGGTTTTATATTACAGTACAAAGTAGGCAAACATGTTTCCTTAGGAGGGTTATCCCTTTAGGTTATTGAGTGGGACAGTACCCAGTCACACAAGAATCTGGACTTCCAATGTACTCTGTTTACTTGATAGTTCAAACTTGCTCTTTACTACCAAGAACCCTAAATGAGAGTTTCCTTTTTTGTTACAATACTTCCTACTGCTTGTCACCAGGGCTACTATGCATTCTCCAGGTATGAAAGCAAAGATAATGGAAAAAAAAATTAAAACACAGCCTGTGTCTAGATCATAAACTTCTGCTGACATACTTGGGCTGTGGAATGTCTTTTTCCTTACACTGTCTTGAGAAGAAGCCTGTAGTATGGTATGGCTACACTACAGCACAGTGCCTTTCTTAGTGTAGTCTAGACTGTTTGGGGTGAGGGTGTTAATTATGTGCTCAGATCTTTGGGCAGCATAATGCTGAATCTACACAAAAAGCCTTGTTTTTTTCTTTATCACAAGAATCTCTTTGAAGTAATTATGCTCAAAGAATAAACAGGAAGGTGGGGGTTTCTAGCAGAGTGCTGCAGGTGATTAAGTGGCACAACTTCTCTGGTACACTAGCAGCCTGAAATCCAGTCATATTTTATGAAAAGTTTTTTTCATAACTAAACTCTCTCAAGTATGGAACCAATTACTGAATTTTCCTACCAATTCCAAATGTTTTCAACTTAGCACAGTATGGTTGCCCTATTGCCAAGTAGAACAGCCATAAAGACAGTGGCAGGGAAGGAAACAATGAATAAAAAGTTACACACAAAATGCTTTACACCAAGCATGTGTGTGAAGGAGAAGCCTTCTTGCACTGCTTTCCTCCTCCTGAAACAACCTTAGCTGTTGCTTGTTATTATTTTACCTCAAACACTCAGACAAGTAGGAACTGTTCAAATCCACTATTTCTTTTTGCTTTATCTGTCTGTAAGATCCCAAGCCCTCAGGTCACCCAGTTGAAAGAAGCAGTGTCACCAGTATTCCAAAGAGAACAGAACACACAGGAAGGTCAACATCAGGCCTGCCTGCACATTCTTTGGAGTCCAATGCAAAGCAAATTTGGTTCTGTTGGTAGCTGCAAGTTTGATAATGCACTACAGACCATTTGCACTAACAGAATTGTCAAACAAAGCAAGAATTTGCACCATCAGGTTTTCATAAAGAAATGCAAACATTAAAAATTGCTTTGACTTTAAATAGCTTTATAGTTTTAAATAAAATAATTGTTTTAAAGTAGTTTTAATTAAATGAACCTAGAAGTTGTGAATCTTTGATATCCATGTCTGATATACTTTTGAATAAATAGATCTATAAATACCTCTTGATCTTTTTGGTGATGAAGTGCACAAAAAGTTAAAAATATATATTTTTTTAAGCTGAAATGAACAGCTGTCTCCTTAGGAATAAACTTAATATCCATAAACACTCAATGCAAAGTTACAGAAACCCAAAATATATTCTAACAACATAGTCACTATAAATACATACTTTAACTGAAAGCATGCTTTTTAATTACTCAGTGAGTAAATTGTCAAAATAGAAAATTAAGCTTCTCTTTAAAAGAAAAACTAAATAAATAAACAAACACAGAATTCAAATAATAAACTGAACCAGCCAGTAACACTTTAAAACACGGAAGTGTCTTTCCCTTTCTCCTATAGAGTAGCCCAGCATTATGATACTCTTGAGGACAACAAACAACCCCCTAACTACCATTCTCAAGTTTCATTCTAAAAGCAAAAGTTTTCAGTAATTTGGGCATTTGAAATGTGCTAGTTTAGTATAAAGCTGCACATGAGGCTTCCTAGGGTATAAATAAACAAAGCCTCCACAGTGAAAACCAAAAGAGAAATCATACATGCAGTTTAGTCTCAAAAAACCATGATTTTAACTTTCACTTTAAAACCCCGTTAAGTATAACAGTGCATTAGGAACAATCAAGCTCACTAGAGGGACAATTTGCTTGCAAATGTCACAAAGCATGATCTTTAATGATGTAATTCTGAGCAGTATCTCAAAAATTTCACTTCATAGCATTTTACAAAATAATATCCTAAACTTGAACACACTGCATCATACAAGGTTAGTAAGCAGGAAATCACAGAGCGGAGTGAAGTGGGCCCCTCAAAAATGCTGTTTTTCCTGAGGTGTAAAGGAATGGTTTCAAACTCACCCCGTCAACAGGGCTGCACCACTGTGCTCTGTGCAAGAAGAGCTGCCACATCCTGAGCAGAACACGGCCCAAAGGCCTGTGTACCTCATCCTCACCTTCACTGTCCTTCCAGCCTTTCCCTCACCACCACACAGAGAGGGCTGAGCACCAAGTGATAGAAATACTCACTTCAAATTACTCTTTGCACTGATCTAAATTTGTTTGTAAAGCCGACAGAGAAAGAACAGATTTTAAAATACAGGTCTCAGAACTGCAGGGCAAATAAATGCAAATGTGCTTTATTGGCTGGAACAAGTGCTCTGAATACTGACAGGCTGTGGATCTGCACTGAACCTCTGAACCTCTTCTGCTGGATCAGTCCCCCTTCACATAACCTTTACTCATTGACAGAGGCTGCAGCCACACAGTTCTGGGATCCTGTGCACTCATTTGATGAATCAGACATGAGCCCTAATTCCAATAAATATTCATAGACAAAGGCAAGGATCATTATTCCCCATTTATGGAGGAGAAACTGAGGCACAAAGTGATTACTCTAAGTCAGTGACATAGGTGGAGGAAAACCCAGTTAGCCCCACACCTGCTACCAGGTGCTTTAAAATGAGCCAAAGACACCTGATTATTTAATATAATTTAGTAAGCATCTTTTGTTTCTGTGTTTAGTGAGACCAGTGATCTATTTTTTAACCTTCCATTTCTAAAACAACCCGCATGATACTGAGAGTAAAGGTCCAAGAAATTTAGTGAAATCTGCCAGCAGATTTATTCCACTCATGATATTCACTGCAAGCTAAAAGATACAGGGTTAGCCTGGTAATGACCAAATGAGGGCTCTGTGAATGCCACTGCACTCTTCTCACTCCACCCAAATAATTACATGGCTCACCAGGAGAAATAAAATGGATAAAAACATTAAGACTTAGAAAGAAATAATGTTTCCATAAAACAGAGACTTATTGCATGATAGCTGGAGGCAACACCTTTGCACTAACAGCTGTAAATGAAAGCTGTCCTTTTACTAAGCTTCCAGAGATTGCTTACACAATGTGTGGCAATGGGAGAGAATACAGAAGACATAATTTTCTTCCTTCTTCTTCACTTGCTCAAGTGGATGAAAAGCTACTTGCCTACTTTCAAAAGGATGAAGATTATAACTTCTTATGCTCCCATACCACGCTGCTACAGTTGTGAACAGATGTGAACATTTGCCACCTGATAGCTAAACTAAAATTTTCTTGATTTCTAAGTAAATGTGAAAGTATATAATCAAATACACATCACCTGCAAGTGGCAAGTGTTAAAGAACTTGAAATCACAATTTTGTTCTACTCTCTCCAATAACCACTGGTGAGCTCTCATTGTGCTGTGTCCACTCCTTTCAGCTATGAGAAGACTATCCAGTGTTTAAGTTCTTCCACACTCTGCAGTATCTGTGTATAATAGAAATCCATGTTGGCTGCAAAATCAGTACACACAGGGGATTCCATGTCACCAAAGGTGCAATACAGTGCAGTTCCTCCAATGCTAAGGAAAACAGTTGCTATGCACAGCAGGATCAGCAAAATGCAGGAGCCACCAGACACTTCATCTGTAAATAAGAGCAGAAGAGGTGAATAAAGATGGTATACAAAGCAATACAAATACATGTGAGAAAACCTGAGATAGGTTTTTATCATGAATGGGTCAAGAGGTAAAGAGAATAATGCTCAACATGTTAAAGTGACCACAATACACACAGGGAATTTTATGTTTCTCAGTCTTTTCAGAAACCTAAATAATTCTATTGTTTCATTTCTGCAATCTGTGTACCTGTCCCTGCTGAGATCACTTGTGGAGTCATTTCACAGCTCACCTGTGACAAGACCCCACAGCCAAAGCTGTCCTTTATGGAATAGTTCAAATAAAACAAAGGCTTTGAAACCAAATGGAAACATTCTTGCTTCATTTCTAATGACACTGACTGCACTACAATGAACTGCTTGTGATTACTCTCACATTTTGACTGCAGACACAAAACCTTCAGTGCAGGCTAATGTGAGGGGTTATTTTACATCTCAGTTATTCTCTGCTAATTCTTTGCATGATTGTTTATTCCAGAGTAGAAGCAATGCAGAGGTTGCAGAGGTGATGCTACATCCTCACAATCTCACTTGTCCTTGCTAATCTGTATGCATGAACAACATCTGTGTCTTCTATCATCCTGACATGACTCTAAGGAAATTTCTGTACTCCCTTCACTCTACACCAGGAGAAAAATGGGGTAAAAGAAACATTTGTGTGATTTTTTTTTTGTGTGTGTTTGAAATCAAACTTGAAGTAATAATAACAATAATATAAAACAATTTTCCTTTTGAATTACTAAATCCTGGGGAAAAATCATATAAAAAAACTCGAATTGAATTTTAAATAAAACATAAATACTTTTAAAATAATTTCAAAAAAAGATGGGATAGGGTCTCTTTAGGCTGTGAATGTTTGAGACACGCTAACTTACTCTTAAGAACTAATTTATACCATATAGTGGCTGGCATACACAACAGATAGAACTTTCTATATCATTAGTAATCAAAGGTAATTTTCTTAGTGTCTCTTCAGTTTGAATAATAGAGACTCTAAACTAAAAAAAAAAAGCATAACATGAGAAATGTACTGTGTTTCTCATGAGGCTATTTAGCCCATCAAAACGTGTAAAGCCAGATTTAATGACAGCTAGCAAATATGTATGGATATTAAAATATAAAGAAAGGTTAAAATCCAACACCCTCCCATCGCATGGAAACGACTAGAAAGGGTTGGAAATGTACCCATGGACAAAGCACAACAGACTTGTTTCTTTTGCATCCCTCTACCTACACACTAAATGGCTTTAGGGAGAAAGCCTACACCTCACACCTCTGAGCAATGATCATTAATGAAAGGACTTCAATTATTTGTCACTTGTAAATCATTCAGCCAGAGGAAAAAACCAGTGACTTCATTCTCAGCCAAGCTTTAAAACAGAAGTGTGCTCACTGTATCCTTCTGTAGTCTTGTTACCCAAACCTGGTACAGACTAAAAATCTTTTATCAATCACCTTTACTTACTAAGTTTTAAAAAACCAGGAGAGTATGTTCAATAAATGCCTGTTTTGCTGCTGTGAACAAAAAGACTGACCAAGAGAACAATCCATGAATCAACAAATTTAAACTACCTTGATCCAATGTGTCTTCCATTTCTTGGAATCTCACTCTTCTCTTTGTTTGCCTTTGCTGGACTTGAGCAATTGTTTTTCCATCTCTGTCATCTCTCTTCTTTAATATAGACACCAATCCTTCCACTGGGGTAATCTATCAGGAAAGTCAGTGAGTGGCACAAGAGATGTTAAATAGAGCTCCTGCTCAATTTTTCACAATGACTCAGGGAGGAAACAAGCTAAACAGTTAATAAATGGTTTCCAGTTTACTTTTCTTAAACATTGCAGTACTTGGGAAGCCTCCTTTTTGAAGACATCAAGTCCTGAACAGACAGGACAGCTGCAGTATTGTTCTGCTGCTTACTGACACTGTTTGCCTTTAATTGTTATAAATGTTAAATGCACACACATTTTCTGCTTGGATCACACTTTGTGCTACTTTGTAAGCTCACGTGGGCAGGGGCAGTGGTGAGGTGGATTTGTGTCAAAATCATTATCATCAGAGGGCAATAACAAGTCAATGACACACTGCTGCTGCCCCTCCAAAGATATAATCCTGCAGAGCCCATCACATACTTATTGTGAGATTAATTTTCCAGCACTGCAATTGGTTCCCCAGGGGCGGACAAGCAGCTACAGCAGGGCTACAAAACCGAAGAGAGGGAACACCAGGGAACAGGGAAAAAGAAAGCTTCAGTGCTCTGGATGGATTCCACATTGAGTTCCACATTGTAATAAGCTCTCTGGATACAGCAGCAGTGCAAAAATCCTTCCCTACAGGCTGGTCACTCAAACAGCTTGCACAAACAGCAATATGGTCAACAAGTCAATAAACCACACCTTCTCTTTTCTTTGCTATAGTATTTCCATTAGTTGCAAAAATATATGGTAAGCCATACTGGGTTGGTTGAGCAGTCTGTAACTTCCTTGTTATTAATGAAATGAAAGTAGGTGATGCACCAGGAGAAAAATGCTTTCCTAAGCAAGTAGCTTCTGGTGTGCTACAAATAAATAGAAATTAAAGTCAAAAGTATGTTCAGAATTGCCCTTTTTTTCTACCTTGTGAACCTCCTTGCCTCAAAAAAAGTCGTAATTATTTCTACCTAGACTGCAGTAGGACTTTAAAAAGCTTAATTCTGTAGATCAACAGTAATATTTGTTAAATTGAAAAGTAATATGCATACAATTGTGCTACAGATAAAACATATCACATTTACAACTGAATTTACAACTCATCTATTAGATAACCCCAAAGGTCTCTAACTTTCACAAAAACTCCAAACCCCCCAACTTTCCAAGTAACACTGTAGTTGCAGACAAAGGACTACTTAAGCGTATCTATAACATAAGTTAGAAGACCATCCATAAAAACTTTTATGCATTGCATTTCTAAGAGCAGTAGAGAAACAGAAAAAAAACCCAAGTTCATATCCTTAAGCTTGCCTCATGTTGTGAACTTATATAATGCATCAATGCATGCTGCAGTCAGAGATGGTGCCCTGCACACAGGGAGACATAGGGCACAATCCAATAGGTACTGGAGCAGCTTTGGCCTTTGCAACATTGAACTGATAAATATGGCAATTACACTCGTGGGTCTCTGGTCTGGCAGTATTTTATAGCCCTTAAATGGACAAATAACATTACCCAGAACAACTCAGAGGATAAAACTGATCTCTGCCACACTTTTGATATTCACTTTCCCTTTTGTATATATGCTCAAGAGCTTGAATGGATTATTTAATGAAACAATGCTAGAAAGTACTTGGAAAGTAGTGGAAGTGTGGAGAAAGAGGAAACAAATTGTTTAAGTCAACATGCAGAGGACCAATAGCTGGCAGAAATGACCCAGAAATAATAGTTTGCAACTGTCTCATCACAACAAATGAGTGCACTGAGGTGCAGCTTCTACTGGTACTGCTAAATTAGCCTTGCAAAAACAAAAATTTAATAGGCCAACAGAAAAATCACCACTTATGGTTCTTTGTTGTGACAAGGAAAAGGGATTATGTAGGAGTGTTTTAATTTTACTTATTTATTTGGAAGGGTGGAGACAAAATGATATCCTTTAGTAGAGTAGATTATTTTAAGCCTCTGCTTACAGCATTGCTTTCATAAAGAGGATCAATTGCTTCTCCCACACCACCCACACAGCAGGCTGGCTGTTGCCTGGCATGATTATTCCCAAGTGGCTTGGACTGTACAAGGTGGGAATGTCACCCAGAGATGGCAGGGCATTCCTACCAATCTGCCCAAAGATTAGAAGTGGTGGTCTGTTCTGCAAGACATCCCAGCAAACTGAGGCACTTCCTTCTGTCTGTTGGCTCTTGGTAGTTTCTGAATGACTGTGTCACAAACTCCTGTCTTCTCCAAGCTTAAAACCAGAGGGCTATCCTTGACAGGATTATGTGGAAATGTGTTGCAGTAATTACAGTTACATAAAAGGCTTTCTGGAGGAAAGACTTGCTACAATGAGGTTCATTTACTTTCCCTGTCAGCCTACATAGATACATTTCAGGATTTACTTTAAATGTATAAAGAACTAATGTGACACAGTACAAGTTTCTCTCTTCTGAACATCTTCTTTTGCTTAAAAAGAGGGATAAAATGCTTTCAATTTTGCAATAAAAATAATTGTGGCTAGTGTTACTTCCCCATCTCAACAAAAGCCATAAACTGTATTTTGAAAAACAGCCCCTTTATATATGTAATTTATTCCTAGAATAGAATCATAGAATATGTTGAGCTGGAAGGGACTCACAAGGATGATCAAGTTTAACTCTTAGTCCTGCACAGGACACCCCAAGAGTCACACCATGTGCCTGAGAGCATTGTCCAAACACTTCTTGAACTCTGCCAAGATGGTGCTGTGACCACTTCCCTGGGGAGCTGTTCCAGTCCCAACCACTCTCTGGGTGAAGAAACTTTTCTCAATATCCAACATAAACCTCTCCTGACTCAGCTCCATGGCATCACTATACTTCATTTGCCTTTGAATTTTATGAGTTATACACTTAAGGTTTTTTGTCTTTGTTTCCAATACACAAAGTGATTCTATTAGCTCCATTTCCCAGTAATGAAACATCTCAGGAGAAGGGCTTAGCTGCCACACAAGATGAAGTTTTACATCCCATTCTGTAGGTGTCAGGAGGAATTAAAAAAGGAAGAATATACTGTTTATATTGGAAGTTAATGAGGGAACTGTGGTTAATACAGTTGACCACAAGTCAAGCACAGGCTTGACTTGAACCACAGGCAGAAAAATACAGGCTTGCACCAGAGTGCCCTACCAATAGCTTTTACATGAAAGAGGTGCATAAAGGACCCTATTGAAAAATCAGATATTTTCTTAATTCTAAGGTGGATAATTAACAAAAGATGGTCTTGGAGCATCTATGTAACTGAGCTTGCTCAGATCTGCTGGCCTTGACAAAATCTTTTGACAGGAGTTTTTACAGTCACTGTACAGGAACTGAAAGAGGCATGCACGTGTATGGTGGCATTTTCATCAACAGTCAAAAATGAAAGCAGCAATGACTGTTGGTTAATTGAAACTCTGTTAAAAAAAAGCTTTTCTCTTTTCCCCACCATTAGTAGAAAGTGAATTTGCTTCAGCCAAAAGTTTCCCACTTCTCATATACATTTTAATAACCAGGTTGTAAAATCAGAAGAAATAAGCTAATTGAACTACCTGTCTCTTCTCTGTTTAAAACAGAATTTGGTAACAAAATATCAAAAAGCTTCAACAAATATGATGTGTGTATATTTATAAACATACTGGACAAAACTATGAAAATAAGGCCTTGTAATTCAAGTTGACACTTAGAATTAGTTGTAGCATATAGACATAAATAAAAACCCCAAAATGGAGGCACTACAAACTGGGAACTAGGAAGAAAAGCTCCCTGTGTGAAGTAGTTTGGTTTGAATGCAGAAAACTACTCAAGAAAGTTTGTGTATTCTTCTGTGGGCTGTATTCCTTATTCAGTTACATGGCAAAGGACTGTAGTTTTATTACAACAATACCAGATTTTTTAAAGTAATCCCCAAAATGACAAAACCCAAGACTTCCCTGTTTTACAGTAAAACCAGCAGAAAAACCCCTTTGCCAATAAAATACATTAGATACATAAGTAATTTGAGTTTGAAAAAGAGCTGACTTAGTAGGTTCAGTATTCACACCACAGCTACTGAGGGTAATATTTTTCCTCCTGATACACTTGCCATGCAAGTACCTGAGCTCCTTTATACACCAACAGACACCTGATACCATGTAAGCACTCCACGTGGGAGCAAAGTTACTACAAACTTAAAGCTAAGGGACTGAAGCCATACAAGAGAACAGAAAATACACAACACTGCCTCTAAACCTAGTGGAGACTTCATTTCTTGGTATACAAGCTGCCATCCAAAAGCTTAATGTTTTGGTAGACAGTCTCACTATCTTTGCTTTCTAACAAGAATTTCCCAATTATAATTTTCTAATAAAGAAAAACTTCTAAGTTTTTACTAACTTCCTTGTCTCTCACATAACAAGTTTATTCTACAACCTTTTATTTTATACAGCAAAATGTAACTTTATTGAGGTTACAATTTGTTTTGCCACTGCCACTTCATTCTCACAGAAATGATATCAAAGATATTTAAGAACTATATACTTCTATTTGTTGTTGCCAGCTTCTGACTGTGTTTCAAAGTTCTTTGTTAGCTGTACAAATCTTGTTTCTGTAAAATGACTGTGGTTTTCCATAATTTGCTTGTTGTTGGATGTGGTTTGTACTAGTGAAGAAATAGCCAGTATAAGGGCCTGTACAATACAAAAAATACTATTTCACATTAGCAGCTATTTAAACCTAGAGTCAGAATTAGGTGAATTTTCACTCTTGCAATTAGTTATTGTAAATAATAAACTAAAAGTAAGTGACAAAGCATCTAAGTTAGAAAACTGCACGAGATGATTCTTGGATCTCAAATTGGAGCCAAGCAAAACTTCTGAACTGTAAATACATATACAAAGATTTACCCTTCCCCATCTTCAATAAATTCTTATTACATATCAACTGAAGAACATTAATGAAATTTTATTCTACCATAGAGGTGTTGTCCCCAGGTTATTTCAAAATTATATTTACTTCCACCTTCCATTCTAATTTGTTTGTGGCAGTGAGGTAAACACTTCATGATAAGTTTTATCACGGTCAAATTGATTATTTTTTTCTTTTTTACTGCCACATTGGTCATTTAATGTGATTAATTTAATTTCACTCATGTGTCTACCAATGCATTTTCTAGATACTCATTAACAACCAGTGTATGAAAACACCATTATCTTCTTAGGTTGCCATAGCGTGAACAATGTAATTTCAAAGCCTTCAAGAGGACAAGAAAGGAAGAAGTGTTACAGCTGGGTACAAAGATTCTATCTGCTCGTCAAAACTTCAGTGCAATCTTATTTTGGCACTAAAACAGAATCAATGAACACAAGTTAACAATGCTGCTTTCTCAGGGGTGCCAAACTCTTTCAAATGTGTCATCCAAGAAAGCTGTGGGTGCTCATCACTTCTGAAAAACAACCCCTAGGCTACTGATGGGTGGTAAGATTAACTGGAAAAACATCCTATAGGTATATAATGAAACAATACAAGCTGGTGTGCTGTCCTTAATTCACCCTTCGTCACCTGGAAATCCCAAGTATTGTGAAACAACCCCAGGTGCTGCATATGACAAACTTTAATTGCTACTGATGTTAATCCTTCTTCCCTTCTCCCATTTAAGCCCCCTGCCTCACAAAAAACTTGAGTCTCTTGCTATGAATGATTCAGGTGGACTCTCACCAATGCAGCCAAATGACAGTCATTTTATAGAAACAAGATTTGTACAGCCAACAAAGAACTTTGAAACACAGTCAGAAGCTGGCAACAACAGATGGCCAGAAGAAGGACTATGGAAAAACTCAAGGTGTTTTTTCCTCTGCAGAGACTTAACTCTGCCATCAGAGTACTGGCAGTCCCAGCACCAGGAGAGCAAACTAGAAATGAAATTAGAGGCCCTGCAAAGCATCATCATCAGTCACAGGGACAATCAACACAAGAATTTTTCTAATAGTATCAATATGCTGCTTCCTATCCCATCCTCTGAAACACAAATGGCACAAACATAGCTATTTAAAAATAGATGCTACTGGATTAATTTATGCTATATCTATGTGAAACAGAACAGCACTCTGCTAAAATGCAGCATTTTCAGTAGGCTCAAAAGAAATTTAATTAAATATGTATAGATTTCAGATTTGGTAAAGTGATACATAAAGGAATATTTAACACATTTTGAAGTTGGCAATATCTAAAATATTTTAACTGAGACAAACATGGAAGATTATATAGGATTTACAATATTTACCTCAGTAATCTCTATCCTTCTTGTAAGTTCATCAAGAGAAGAAAAGCTGTCATCTAGTGATAAAGCTTCCAGGGAGTTATAAGATGCTCGTTCGGGTGAAATATCTGGAACAGTGTCAAAATCCTCTTGGTTTGCTAAGTCTGCAAAGTCTGCAGATTCTTCAGTGTCTATTATGTTACCATTCAAAAATCTCAGAAATAAGTCTTCTTGTTCATTATTGGCCTTTTCCTCCTGTCCTGCTGCTCTCTGTATTTCCTTGCACACCTGTGAATGGTCAGTACTGTCATGCTCAGACACTTCATTACAGCCAGAGGAAGTTCTGTCCCATGGAGACTGCTCATCATCATCATCATCATCAGGCTGTATCTGTTGCTGGCTTAAGTCACTATTTCCAAGCTGGCCACTAGGAATTTCTGAAGACCCAGCAGCATGTTTTGATCTGAGCAGACTTCTATCAGCTGGCACATCTTTATCAGAAGGAACCAAATCAGCAGACATATAATCATCATCTGTTAAAGCCAAAATATCTACCATCGGCTCAAGAGGGAGTTTCACTCCAGGCTCCCCTGCCCCTTCTATTTTCACTGCATCCTTGGAGAGCTGTCTTCCCCTCAGCTGCAGACTGTTATCTCTACCAGCATCCCCAGATGATAAACAGCCCGAGGAAGGCCTGCCCACTGTCCCTGTGGACTGGGTGTGTGGCTCCAGTGTCGATTCAGCACTGCAGTGCTGCTCCTCCATGTGGTCCTTTCCTGCAGCTACCCGAAGACTTGCTGCCTCTGTCTGTCTCTCAGTTTTGTTTTCACCCGGGCAAACAGTGCTCAGCTGTTTATCTTCTTTCTTTGGTGCAACGCCAGGACAAGTTTCAGTACCTAAGTGCAATAGGAAAAACAGTTCCAGAGTTTTTAAATGATTCAAAGCATCAGCCCAGGAGGGGAAAGAGTATACTGTGATTTGATAACATTGTAACCTAATGCTTCAAAATGCTCTCCCATAAAGGGCAGGGATTTTATGCTACAGTCAGGATAACTTCTGTTAGTAGTCTCTGACTCTTGATTCAGGAAAAAAAAGTATTTGCACATATTCTTGCAGGTGAAGCACATGATTCAGTGTCCTTCTGAAAAAAGCTACTCCCAATATGTGAGCATCTTTCTGAACAGTCACTTGTCTTCTAATGGACATTTTACATGAATCATCTCATGGAGGCCTGGAATTTAGGCAAATGCACTTAATGACATGAAACTGTACCTTTTTGCCAGTGTATCTGTCACCTAAGGAGATATCTGCATTTATTTTAAAGAAGCTGCAATCACACTACTAATTTAATAAATTTTATATTTGCATATCATTAGGTCCTTTGGTTAACACTAAACTAAATAGAAATTACATTTCCCATAAATAGACAGCATAAAAAGATGCTGCTTTTTGGATTAGTAAGTTTATATATTAAAAATGCAATCAGATGCAACTTACTTCTGTATTCATATTTACAATACATATTAAAATTATTTTTTCTTATCTGAAATTTCAGAGACACACAAGGAGCTCTACACAGCTTGTGAATTCACCTACTGGTATGATATGCTGATGAAGGAGTAGATGCTTAGCCCAAGTTATCTATGAAATTATTAGATATTAAGCATTACAAGAAAGCCAAAACTTTGTTTTTAGGCTTAAAAAGAAAGAAACAGGCAGTTAAGAATTAAAATATTAAAGTAAGTTAGCTATGACAGAAACTGCCTTTTATTCCATACTTTAATAAAAAATATGTTAAGACTATGTTATAATAGGATTACTGTTGCAGTAATAGTAGTAACCTCAATCAACAAATTAGTAACTTTAGAAAGCACTTATTTGCATTTTTTTGGTCATAGTGAAGAGCAGAAAGGTCTTATGAACAGATTAACAAAGATATCAAACAACACCCTTCTTAACCGAGTTCTCCATGCCAATTTTGTTCTTCCACACCTGTTAAAACCTCCCTTAAAATGTGACCCTATTTTCTGAACTTGTTACACAAAATAGTCACATTCATTAAAACAAACGTTTGCATTAATTCATTATATACTGAACAATTTTATTAAATTCCAAACTATCCCCCTTTTAATGGATAATGAAATGCAAGGCAGCACAGAAAAGACAGACTTGAAAATTGAAAAAGAGAATATTCAAGAAAATCAAAATGTGGGAAAAAAACCCAGAATGACATTAACAGAAATAAAGAGTACAAGGACTCTAACTTCTATAAAACACTGAAAGAATAGGTGTGAGACAGGGCCTTTTAAAAAATGAGACACAGATGAGTAAATAGCTCAAGGGATTTGTAATGGGATATCAAGCCCTTCACATACAGGTCATGAGTTCAAACACAGCCTGGATTATCGGTACAAGATTTTGTTACCATCTGTCAATTTTTCCTAGTGGATATATCCACATTACAACAGGCATCTTTGTTGGCAGCCCCAACTGCAACAAAGATTAAATGGAATCGGAAATTAAATCAGATTCTGTACTGCAAAAGGTGTCCCTTGAGCTCAGGGCACTGTTCCTAAGAAAGTAATAAATGATCCTAGCACTGTTATGTAACCACAGATGTGCAAGAACTGGGATACAATAATCATTCACATCAAATTTTCAGCAGTGTTCAATATTTACAACTACTTCAGGCAACCCATGCCCACTACAGACTGAAGGCAAATTAAGACAAATACTTGAAGACTTAATTAGAAAAGATGCCTTTGCCTATACTAGGTTAACTGAAGACATACTCATCAGGGGTATTTTGCCTGACTGACAGAGGTACAACGAAGTGTCTACAGAAATATTTTTAGCAACAAAAGCACCTATGGTAATTTAAAAAATGGTTTCTTTACCCCCAAACAGAGCTGCATTAGAACTGCCACTTGGTTTGCTCATCACAGTGTAGGCACCACTTTGTCCTGTTAATCTAACACAGCTTAGCAGAGTACTGATCTACAGTAATCTACCAATGGAGAATTCACACATTTCCATCTTTGTCCTTCTTCCCAAGTAAAAACAAATCCCACAGAACCTAAAAGAAAACAGGGTATAAAGACTTCCTCCCCATCCTGGAATTGAATCTAAACTATATATACACACTGCAAACTTATGCTAAGGGTCTTGCTAAATTCAATTATTTCATTAGGAAGGTTTTCATGAAACACATTAATTTATCTTTAGTTAACACTAAGGCTATTAACTCTCTGCTTTCAGTCAGAAACTTAAAAAATTAATGGGAAAATGATTTATCAAATCTCATCTTTCAATACACACACACAGTATTAAGGGCCGAATTCTCTCTGTTGGTAGATTCAGAGTGAAAATCTGCCAGAAAGTAAAATGTAATAGAACAGACCATTCACAACCCTTGCTCAGAAGGGCAGAAAACTAATTAGATACTGGTCCCAGGAGTCTTGACTGGATAACTTCTTATAAAACTGTTTGTTGGTCACTGTTTGTAGCCCCAGGAGAGTGGAACTGTGAATTCTTAGGATCAACTGCCTACAGAGGCTCAAAATATATTCCCATATACTTTAGCAGATGAATGAAGTAATTTTTGCTTAAGATTACCAGGCAAGTTTGATTTTACTTCAAAGATGCTACTATAGTGCAGTGCAATAGTCTCTACAATGTAATATAGATATTGCTACAATGCATTTTATGTATTCTTACTGATAACTGCTACATAAATTCTTATTATATATGGGTCCATATGAAGGCCAGTTCTCAAAACACCTAAGAGTTTCCTTTTCCTGTCTTCCTGTAAGTCAGTCTTCTACTACAAGCAGTTAAATGAGTTAAGTAGTTCTTCCTGTGGTTTGGCAGATACATGTATTACAAAGGTAAAACTTTACATGTTTACTTCTCATTTTTCATTTAATTTTTCTTTTTTTTTTTGGTAGAGAAAAAAAACACCTAAAAAGCAGAAGTCAAGCATTGTAAATTTTCAGTGAGAAGGCCCATGCACTTACGCTACTGTTGGTTTAGGAACTGTAGGTTTATTGTAAAATGGGATTCTGTTGGGGTTCAGGCAAAATCAAGAACCATTTTCCAAGTGGTCATATTGCTTCAAGTCCTGGGCTGGATCACTCAGGCACAACTTGTTATCTGAACGATATTTCAGACTATGAATCACCTCTGTGTCAAATTTCTGTACTAGTTCATCCTGATGCTTTCCCTACCCAAATCCTTCTGACTGCAACCAAACTCATTCATCCTCAGGCTCCTGATGCACTGACACTGAAGGGCAGCAGCAGCTAATGACCACATGCCACCTCAACAGCTGCTCACACTCACCAGGGAGATAATTCATTGCTTCCTCAAGAATGTACTCATCTTTTGAAAAGCATCTTTTGCAAATCTCAACCATTTAAACTTGAGAGAAGGTGGAAACATTCCTATCTTTGTGTTGAAAGTGCTTAGAACTGCTGAAAATTTCTCAGCAGAACAGCTTTTTATTGGATGACACAGCTTTATCAATTTACCAACATTTCACAGGAAGATTTTAATGATATTTTGACAAGATTTACATTTAGAGAAAGGCATGAAAAGATCCACTTATACCATTAATTCCTTCCACATTATATCAAGATAGTATTGTACTAGAGTATTTCAACATTGAAACAAAATGCTCCTAATTAAGAATGTTCAAATGTTCAGAAATTCTGCTCTCAAGAAAGCTTTTGTTTCCACTTGGAAAAAAATCAGAGCAAAAATTGTAATTGTCTATTTTTTTTCCATGGGAGTTTCCAACCATCCAAAAATAAAAAGCACCTGTGTTCTTTTGATCTGCTTTCTGACCTGTAGAATATGTTTGTTTCATGTTTCTAATGCTTAATATTTAGTTACAAGAAGAGCAGTGGAGAAAAGGCAGTATAGGGGTCATGGTAAAAGAGCATGCAGATAAGGAGGATCCACATACATAGAGAATTGTGACTTTGTATCTTCATTAATTTCTGATTCTCCTGAACATCCTGGCTGATACACACATGTAAGATAGTTTAAGTTGAAAGGGACTTCCTAGGATCACTTAGGCCAGGTCTCATCTTGTGAAGAATTTTAGCCGTTTTTGAGGGAAGGTACTTAGCTTAAGTCAATTTTGGCAACTGTAGTATGGCAAAATACCAGAAACTTTTTGCTCAGAGAGACAAGAGATAAAGCACAGCCTGGTTACCCACCAATATTCTTTCTCACTCTGTCTCCATTTTAACAATTAATTAATTTGTAAATGCTTCCTAAGAACCCAAAGATTCTAACAAATTACTCAAAGAAAAAAGCCCTTACCCCAAGGCAGAAAAAGGAAAATGAGCCTTAAAATTACATAAAAGTATGTACTGTAAACAATTAACTGAGTTTTTCTCTTCAAGACCCTTCAAAAGCTTTATCATTTTCTGTGTTGCTTCAGAAAAATGCATCTCAAAATCAGTACACTGCATGTAACTTAAAATAGTTACTAATATTGTTAACTGTACTCCATTGCCACACCTCAGAATGTCTGTCATCAGGTTGATTACCTAATATTTTTATACATGCAAATTATTATCTCTAGTTTTATACAATTTGGTAGCTTACATAAGCTAATATAAATGCATGCACATGTAAGAATTTTTTTAATGGAGGCTAGAATTACTTCACAAGTATAAATATCAACAACTAATTAAAATTGCATTATTTATCCATTGTGCTGAGAAAAAAAAAATCACGCATTTGTGCATCTGTAGAGATCCAACAGATGCTGTATCTTCAAATGAAATAGCTTAATTTTATTTATAGGAATATGTCAATACACTGTCATATTTAAAACAAATGTATGCACATGTGCATACATACACACATACCTGATTTAAAAGCAGTAGCTTCTCTTTCCTTTAAAGTTCTGGATTCCATTAACTGAGGTAAAGAACTGCTTTCCCATGTATTTTCTGCAGCTACTAGCTGTAAAATATGATACTATTATGTGTAATTTTTAGATTTAAACAGGAATGCTGTGGCTTTTTGAGACATTGAAACTTCAAAAAGCTTCTAAACTTGAAAGATTTTATCTAATATTTAAAATATATTTATTACCGATTTTTGACAAAGCAGAATTCAATTAAACAGCTGCTTACCTTATTTTTGGATGCCTGTGGCCTGTGGCAATAAAGGAAAAAGAATAAATTAAATAACCTAATGGCAACATTCTTCATAATAAGTGTAAGTGAAATCTTAGAAACTTTTGCTGTGCTCTAAAATTAGCATAGAACTTTTCTTCCACTGAAAGTATCAGCCTGCTAGCATACCTTCAAGCACAGATCTGTGCTTGCATGAATATCATCAGAAGACAAATTAGTCCTAACATTGTTCCACCTGAGAAAGCCGTCAGAAGGAAATTTACTGCAACATATCAAGAAATGTACATTCCTGTAAAAGGTTATGCTCAGAAGAAACTCTACCAACTTTCAAAAATCATAAAAGAACTTGCTATCTACTACTATTTAAAATAGGGATCACTATAAAAGAGATTGAGTGATGAAATGACCTCGCCAAAAATGATATTTCCTTCTCCACAGACTGGGACATTTTCTGGGTTCTGTAAGGTACAGAAGCTCCCACTGACTCCATTCAGATTCACCAACGCTGCTCACAGTCAGGGTGAACTTTGCCAGCTGGATCCAGATTCATGCACAATGTGATTTATCACACATAATCTGTCTTGTAGTCTTTCATACAGCAATGAAAATAAAATGTGGAGCTTTTTATTTAAAGCTACTGAAAAAATGTTAGAGAGAGAAGGGAAGAGTACTTATGTTCATACTGTCTAACAAAAACTTCAAAAAGTTACATTGCCTTTTAAATTTTACCATTTAAAATTCAAATAAAGGACATTCAAAACTATCTTTAAAGAGCAAACATGTCCAGTATGTAGCTATAGAACTTGAGTATCAGAAAAATTTACTTTCAATTAAAAAAGCAAAATGCTCACATTTTCCAAGACCTGCATGCTATTCATTAAAAATTAAAGTGTAATTTCAATTAAAAAGTAGAATTAATTTAAAACTTAGGAAAACCCCTCTATATGAAACAATAACAGCAAATAGGCTTTTGCCTTCAGAGCTTGAAAGAGTAATAGTATTACATACAGAGCACTGATCATGGTAAGTGAACACAAGCCTTAATTTTTATCAAATTGCAGGGTTTCTCAGAGCAGGGAATGACATTTCAAAACTGAAATGAAGGAGAAAGCAGAGTTATTCTCAACAAGGTGACAACCCAGGTGATACCAGGGAGGTGCTGCTCATTGCAGCACGTAAATCCCAGCGGAGCTGAGTCTCAGCAGGTCATGCACAAGGAAACGCAGGCTGGGACAACCTCTCAGCAGCAGCACACTGCAGCTGCAAACCTGCACCTCCAGTGCCACACCTGCCCCCTTATCCTCTGGGAATGCAAGAATACCTTTCCAGGGACTCCCTCCCAAAGGCATTCAGAATACACCTGAAAAATCCCTGCATGGATTCTGGGAATCAGCTGGGGTGTTTTCAAACATCACCCAGAAGAACAAAATTGACAGCCAAATGTTGCAGCATTTCTGAAAGAGAGAGGGGCATGATTTATGTTTTGAATGAGATTTGAGTTACTCCAGTCTAGGCCTCAGATTTGGGCCTTGTGAGGCCTTCCAGCCTCTGATGAAGTTAGAAATTAAGGGTTTGTGGCACAGTTAGAAATTGTATTAAGGTGTGATGGGAAGCACTGGGCTGTCTGGGTGTTAAGTAGTATGGGTTTATAGTGTAAGGTTTGGGCCACCTTAAGACAAAGATAAACAAAGTTAGCTTGCTAATCAGAGTGCCTTTGTAAACTGTAAACTATATAGAAGTGTATATAAACTGCCATCTTCTCTTGAATAAATGGAGAATGTTACATTAATCATATTGGTTGGATGTGCGTTCTGTCCTGCCCAGCTTTCCCGTTTTATGAGGTCCCTGGCTTTGGCCAAATCAATACTCTATAAGCAACAGGAGCATTTTGGTTTTTGTTATAACCAGATTTTTTTTTATAACCAGATTGACTAAGCCAATGCAAATGTACTAGAGAAAGTTCTCTCTCCCCATCTAATTGAGAGCATCTTGCCTGTCACAGGCAGGCCTTTTCTCAAGCTTTGAATGTAGTTTCCTTATTGCTATTGGTTGATCATTTTTCAGTGGCAGCTCGTATGATTTTTTCCATCTGTACATTAAAATCAATGTTGGGACAGTAGGACATTCATACATGAAGGAACAGATCTCCTCCTCCTACCTGCTGGGTACAATCCCATATATGTTACTACCCAGAAAAGCACCCTAGGCACTGCCCACAAGTTTGTTATACTGTGATACAACTGATTCTGGAGGCTGATGGGTCAGGCAAAGCAGCTAGCAACTGAGATTTCACTGTTCATAACACTAGGAAAGTACAGAATTACTGCTTCATGTAAATACAACTGATATGAAATTAATAGAAAGTAACAAGAACTACATTAAGCATTAAGGAATTGTCCTGAAATGTGGAAATTTGGGAATAAAATCCTATAGCGTAGGTATGAGTGCTGAAGTGTGAGATGCTGGACACTTGCATTTTGAAAGAATGAGTAAACCAATAGGTATTAAACATAAACACCATCATTAGTTCTACAGTCTCTCTTCCTAAATTAACATTATTCAGCATTTCCTTTGGTTGAAATAATAAAACTCAAAACTCCAGTTCTGGAAAACTGATGATTTGCTAAAATGAGTTCAGATTTAGTCTTCATGCATTCTTAAAACAACATTAAAACAATGTGAAAACTGATGGTAACTGATTTTAGTTACATATCAGAAGGAACCACCACGTTATAACCAAATTCAAGTCAGTGATGCAACTTTTATTTTGACACTGATTATTTTAAAATACCCATAACATCAAGGAGACAACAGCTACAAAAACATTAGTTTGAGGAGTAATAATACTTTCTTATACTTACTGTTGATGCGAGGAGCAAACTCTAGTAAGCTTTTCCAGTTCTTGGCCACTCAGTTCTTTATCTGAATTCCTCAGTGTTGTAACTGGACTGGGAACTGCTGTTTTCCATTTTCTTTCTACATTAAATCAAAATATTTTTTATTCAAGATACTGTAAGAGTAGCTTAACATTAAACAAATTGGTGAAACTAATTAATGGAGAAATATTGACAACTGTTCTATCTGTGCTCTACAGTCTTGTTTCAGACTATGCAGAACAGCATCATATTTGCTCAGAAGACACTTTATTTTCATCACATCACACCCACCAATCCTAACCCGTAAATAAGCTTGAAACAATTGTGGATCAAAATCTTGATTAACAGAATAAAGAATTACAAACTATTTCCACATTTATAATTAAATGCGTGCAAACAAATCCAAAGCAGAAATATTCTTCTTGTAACAAGCTCAGAGAAATTCCGATATAAATGTCACTTTTGCCATTTAACTTTTTTATCCTGGAAATGTATTATTTAGAGATACAAACTGAAGTCTTTCTTCTACCATATTAGTTTATCTGGTACTCACCCCACTGTTCCTGTATGGAAGAGAGATTTGCAAGCAGCTGCTCATGATAAAGTCGTTCAAGCTGAATGAACTTCATGGCCTTCTCATCTGAAAGGAAGGTTAAAGGCAAACACACACATACGAGGACATGGCATGACTTACTTATAAATGGCATCATGGTTGAATGGGAAGTAATTACACACTTGAAATTTGAAATAAGTGAATCAAAATGAATAATGGCTAGCATCCCGATTTCTGTGCAAGAAAGAAAAAGCAGCAGACATGAAAATGGCAGGCAAGAAGTAAAATACGTGGAGAAACATTCAAAAAATGAAAATCCTATTCTTTTTAGCAGGTATCTCCTCCCATGTGCCTGACACAACAAAAGATTTTTCTTAAAAATAAATGACTGAGATGTTATTATGCTGATAACTTGAATGAAAAAATGACATCTCTGGGAAACGAAAAGCAAAATAATGACACAAATACCAGCACATATCTTGCAAGAAATACAATTACATGCCAATAACCATGACTAACTGAAAATATGACTCCTTTCTATGACCATTTGGTGACAGTATTAAAACAATCCAACTTCAATTTTTGAAAAATACCTTCCCCCCTCCTTTTTCAACCATTGTATGCAACACTGTTGGACTGCTAAGTTTACGTTTTGTCTTCCTGAAGATTTGCTCACTTTTCTTCTATATGAAGAACTCTTTCCCCATGCTTAGGGTTATCAATATATTCACAAAGGTATACTGATAGTCACATATCTTACAATAGTCAGGATAATGCTAGTTCACTAAGCCTGAGCTGTTAGTTGTACTATTTGAAGCTGTTTTACCAGCTATTTGAAATGTAATTCTACAATACAATGAGGATAGAAGTACAAAGAAAAAGGTTCTTAGTAATACGGAAAACCCACTTTCCATTATTCATGCTAATTAAAACACTGGAGTAATTATTACAAAACACAACCAGTAGCCTCATGCAATGGCATGGCTTATGAACAACAATATTAATGGAAATAATATTCCCTGTCTTCAGGCAATCTGTTATTAAAACAGAATTACAGATCACAGAGACAGCCTTAGAGGATCAATGCAACAAACCCTGAATTATTTTTAATATGAGATTCCATACTGAATGAATTAAAATGTCTGTCATGGATAATTAATACAGTGTAACATGATCAAGTAGGTTCTTTATTAACCTCAGGAAACTGATGGCTGGAGGTACAATGCAGATATCCTTCATAAATATGTATTATATAGTGGTGTTGAATTCCACACATCAGGTGTACATTGCATTAAAAAATATTTCCTTTGATCAGCTTTAAATAGAATGCCTTTCAATTAAAGCAACTCCAATGAAAGAGGAACTGTTTCTACCATGCCATTTATATTTTAAATTTACTAAATGCCCCCCTGCATCAGGACTTATTACAGCATTTTTCCATGCCTTTCATTTGTGCTGTGCTGTTGTTATTGGACACAAAATGAGTACACGGGAGTTTGGTGAGTTCAAAAGAGAAAAGACCCGTTATTATTCAAACATCTGGTATTTATAGAATTCTAAAGGTGACTGTGGATTGGAGGATGGAATTACTACTTCCCTAAGTACACTGGTTCAAATATTAATCATTCTCTCTACCCACAGAGAAATATGTAAACTATTCTGTTTATATATGAAATTGTGTGGGAACTCTGACTCTTAAATATGTAAACATTATCAGGAGGCTAAAGAAGTTTTATGAGAACTTTAAAACTTTCAAAAGAATTATAAAAGAAAACTTAACACTTTTAAAAATCAGGACAACACTGTGCAATTCACATTTTCTGATGGACACTTTTGAATTAGGAGGTCCAAAACAAAAGTGCAGTCCTCTAAAACAGTGATGATTTTATTTTATATGTTGCTTTTATAACATTGCAACTGTTAGTTCTCTGGTTTTAGCTGCATGCTAAAATAATTTGTTTAGGTTTCTTATGCCTTGTTACTTACCATGCTAAACAATTGCCTATTTGCTGTATTTTATTTGTACAAATTACAAAATAAAGAAATAATCTGTATGCATAAATTCTGTAATGTATGATGCATTTTAAGGAATCATATATACCTTAAGGGCTTGCCACTGGCATCTTCTTTTTATAATCTGATCACTTCCCTTTGAAGCAAAGAGGAAATCCCAGTCCACCTTTTTTAAAATTTTAACTTAACTTTGAGGTTTAATATTATTATTCTCTCACACAATTACTGAAATATAAATATATCAGACTAATTACCAGCAGTCCAACTATTACAAATTTTTGACCAAACTTACTTGCATTATCTAGGAACAAATCAAAATAAACTGGACTGCTAAACTGTTCCCAGAAGCAATTACCCATATTTTCCTACAACAATTTCTCAAACTACCTTGATATGATTTTGACTAATTAGCATTTGTCAAACACCCTTTTGCTATTTTTTGCAGGTTGCTGATCTCAGCTCCATGTGTTTGGTATTTTTATTCCAATCTAGACATTTTTAGTACATATTCTAATCAAGTCCTATGACAATTTTATCATTACTATAATTATTTGATATAATACATATCCTATCTCTAAATTGGACATTTTCCCAGTTACTAATACTTAGAATAGAAATTATCTCATAAAAACAGTTCTTTGAAAATGTTTTCTTACTCCCTTGCTGACATCCAACTACTAATGATTGCATCAGTACAGCTGTTGGAAGTGAATTTATCCCTAACTCACATTCCAGTTGTTTGATTAAGGAGGATTTGCTAGCATACTGTGTATTTGCTCATGGGTAAATTATGGTCCTTCACTTCCTTATAACCCTGACCCAGAAGATGTGAGTTAACAGCAAAGCATACCACATTATTTGAATACTGTGCAACAATTTTTGCAAGTAAAAGGATACATTCCTCCTCTTGAAAATAGGTCTCAGCTATCTGCAAAAGTGGAAAAAAAATTAAGAATCTATAATTTTCATGACAGTGGTAAGGATGTGATATAAACTTTTTATCATAGCTTTAAAATTCTGGTTTGCAGCTTCCTATTTTGTTGGGGTAAAATATGAATGTTCTGACAAAATACATGTATTCCTATTCTAGGAAAAAGGTTTTGAAAGAACATCAAAGACCATAGAAATATTAAGTCCTCTCACACAAAACTGATTTGATTTTGTGTAATTTACAGAATTACACAAACCAGAAAACCTTAGTAAGGTATTATTCTCCTACAACTATAAAAATTATTTCAGAAACACTTTTAGTTATCTTAATAGAAAGCTTAAAATGACTTACGACAGAAGTACTATTTTTATTGATACCAGTTCAAAAGTTTGAATTCTGTGCCTGGCCAATGTTTCCTTATGTTTGATCAAATTAAGATCATTGCTGTGCTCTCCTGAGCAATACATTGCAATGTGTTAAAATAGAAATGGGAGTTTCCTGACTGATGAGAAAAGAACAGTCTTTTGTCTCCCTGTAGACAAAAAATACTTGAGAATTCCAACAATAACTTATTTGTGCTTGTTACAAAACTGTGCAGGCTTTCCAAAAAAGCTGAGGAATACTAACATCATTGTTTGTAAATGCGATGAAATACAAAAGATATAAACCTCAGAAGTATTCTAAGGAGCTCTACACTACCAGTGACCTTTACAAGCAGCAACTAATCAGTTCTTGGGGACAGCAAATTTTGGCAGTGTTCCTGTTTGCCATGCATGGTGAAGCAAGGGCAGAGCTTGCAAAATGTGTCCAGGACTGCAGGCACAGTGATACCACAACATTCAGGCTGAGGCACCTCATAGATGATGCCCCAATGACTTCTGTGGGAGCACTCAAAAATTCAGTCTCAAGATCTTTGGGACATATCAGTTTAAGTAGTTATAATATAGAGGGCTTAAATAAGCACTTTTCTTAGCAATTATCTTCAGACTTCTACAAAAGACAGCAATTTGATAGAGGAGTCTAGATTACAAATTGTATTCCCTGGCTCTCAGCCTTACTGCTAACCACTAGACCATTCTGAGCCCAGTACCTCTGAAAGAGAATGGCTAAGTGACTTTTAATGTTTTTTATCTACACATTTTGTCTGCTGTCCACAATAGCCTCCTAAATATTTTTGGAGCTGTCAAAGCTCTACCTATGTTTTATATAAAAATACCTCTCAGATTCTGTAACAAGTTGTAAACAAATCACATTATTCCCATTCAAGACAGGAAAAAAAATTACATCCTATTTTAATTAGAAGTTGACTCTTAGAACAACCCCTATTATCCAAGAGTCTTTAAATATTCAATACAAGCTTCCCACAAACACCATGGAGGTTAATACTCCAGAACAGCCAACACAGCTCTTGATTTTACATTGGAATTTGCCAGATAGAATAAAAAAAGGATGTTGTAGAAGAGTATTTGATAGACCTGGTTTAATGTTACTGTCAGGCTGTATTAGCAATCTGAAAAAGAAAAAAAACAAAACCTGAAGCTGACAGGTTAATTCACTAGAAAGGGAAAAAATTCCTTAATAGACTCACTGTACAGGAATGCTAAACTTAAAATCCTCCCCTCTCCCATCCTCTATTAAAAAACCAGGTTATGAGCCTTGTAAGTTCCATCAGCTTTCTTTCAAATGCTCCATTCAAAATCTTGATAATTTTTAGGAAGAAAAAAGACAGTGTTTAAATACATATTTCAATCTGAATATGCAGATTTTGTTCTCAGCTCTGTCACAGATCCTGTACGACTTTCAAAAGGTTAATCCCCTTAGTGTTTGGCTTCCTCATCTAAAAAGCAACACATTTCACCTCCATCATGTGCAATTGATCCCCTTGATGTTTATAAAGCATTTAAAGTTTTTGCTGTATCTTGTTTTCCAAAAATGACCCTTGTACTGACTCATGAAAAACTACCAAATTTGATGAGGCTAAAAGCAAAAATTGTTAACCCTAAAGCTAAGCTTCTGATAAGTTAAGGAACAGTATCAAATATCTTCACACAAGCATGGATTAAAAAAAAAAATAAAAAATACTATGTCAAATGTAGATTATCTATAATGTGCAATCCTAAAGAGAAACCTTTCTCCCATATAATTGCTTTTTTTGTATTAAAGAAGAAGAATGCAGGAATGTCATTGCAATTCAAAAATTAAAAATATCTTCCAAAATAAAGACAATGCAGCTAAGTCAAATCAGACATGTATAGTATCTACATATCTCCCATATTAGACATCACAGCCAAGCAAAAGGTCTTCTAGTGTACTGTCAGTCTGACACAACTAAATAACAACTGTACATTAATACGGCATCAAGTTCTATCCACATATTCATTCTGCATCATAACCTCCAGAAAAAAACAAGCAACATACTGGCCAGTTTCTAAGAAAGACTGCTTTTCAAACCACAGTTTTCCCTTTGATCTTGCAGGTGTGGCAACTATGCTAATATAAAGGTATACACTAAGAAAATCTTAAATCTTAATATTCATGCATAAAATTTATGCTAGAAAGATGTCTGCAGCAGTAAAAACAATTCCAGACTTAAATTTTTATTCAGGTATTGGCTGTTCTGTAATTATACCAGTATCTTACAAACCTTACTCAAGGCAGATAAAAGAGTGATTTTTGCTAAATCTTCCTGCCAAACTAATTTCACCATTTGGGGAGTTAGAAACTCACCCTTAAAGAGTTTCCTTTAACTACAGAATTTACTTACAAGGCAATTTATAATTTAAGAAATATTAGAAGATCTTACAAGAGATATTTGCCTCGACCATCTGTTATGCATTGAAGCATCCTGTCTAGATATGAGTATTGGTATCAATTGCATTTATGCATATGTTTCCTAATGAACAAAGGTCTCAAATAAAAGTAAAATTGGGTGCAGCACCGCAAAATCCTAGAAAGTACCTGATGAAGACACAGGGGCAGTATCTTTGAATCCATCTGCTCAACCTCTTCACGGAGCAAAGAGAAAAGAGACTGCAATGTTTGCTTTTGGTTTTTTGGATCAAAGTTTTCCTTTGCTTCAACAGCACTTTCAGCCTGCACAAAATCTGTATCTGTATGAAGAGCATTTTCATCCTGGATCATTGTGGTTCCCACTGTAGAAATGCCTTTAAAAAGGACAAGTACTTAGGTTAGGATTAAGAAGAAAATACATCAAGCTGCTTTTTTAGGAAATTTCATTATGAACAGAATATGTCAAATAACATCACTGCTACACTAAATACTGGCCTTGTCAAAATTAATTGTGACAGGTCTGTCTCACTGTCAGCTCACCTACCCAAGAGAACACAGTAACATACATCAGATATATCTGTACACTTCTAAATGGGACCCTGCTTTCATTTATGGGAAAAAAAAAATCAGAACACTTAGAAAGTGTTATACAGAGTTATTAATAAGAGATCAGGATGACCTAAAAGGGCTTAGAATGCAGTTTTGCACAAAAAGGGCAAATAGCAGGTAGGTGAGGGCAGTATGGCTGAGGTTTTCAGTTTGTCTCTTTGCTCCAGCCACGGAGCTTGGACAAGGAGGTGTCCTGGGGATGGACACACACAAGGGAAACAGGACAATTCAATGGGTTCCTGTTTTTTAGATGATAACACAGTGGCTCCTCACAGTGACAGCAGGATCTTAAAGAACAGAAAGAAGCAGATGATGCTAATGTGGGATTCTGTTGTAGGAGAGAGATGTCTATGGGGAGTTTCCTATTGAGTGAAAAGGAAGACCCCCCCCCCCTCCATAGCTGGATAATTTCTTTGAGTGTCCAGGGAAAGAGTCAGTAGTGCTAATCTATGTTGGTAACAATGACACAAGGATGTGTAAACAGAATTTAGATCCCAGAACTACTTGCTAGACGGAAAACTAGATTCTCCATGGTACATTTCCTGGCAGTTCACTGTTGTCTGTCTCCAGTTTTATAGAAGTTGTGAAAAATGCATATTTTATCAGGGGCTTTTCGCAAATGTTACAATGAATATTATATGTGTAATGTTAGAAATTTATGCTGTATTAATTCTCTTACGTATCGTGTTAAGTGTAGTTTTAGGTTCCAACATAATGTTAAAATAGAGACTATGTATGTGGGGAAGTTTGTTTTTTTTTTTAGGAATGAGATATTCGCTTTGAGGAACACCTAAATCTTCTACAGGAGAGGAATATATGGCTTCTTATCAGAAGAAGCTAATTTCTTCAGGCCTTGCTCAGATTCCAAGACACCAGGGGATTAAAGGAAACAGTTGACATACAGCAGACAGTGTTTCTTATTTAGAATAGAATGTATGCATAGCCATAAAGGATGTATGAATATGCAACAAGTGTATTGGTTAAAGGGTGATTCCTTTGTTCACAAGGCATGCTTTTCGTGACTTAGTGTCCGAGAGCATCCAGACGTCCGGAAGTCTTTGCTTTTTATTGTCTTGTAATTGTCCTAACTCTAAACTTTATTACTCTAATTGTATTACTATTTTTATAACCATTTTATTATTATTAAACTTTTAAAATTTTAAAAACCAAGTGATTGGCATTTTTCACAAAGTCAAAAAAAGTCAGGCATTCAAGTGGAGATACGAAAAATAATGTAAAGCATAACCGTACAAGAATATTACAGGAAAAAAACAACTTGCTGGATGCAAATTCCTCATTTTATTGTTAGAAATGCAAAACTTTATTTTTGATCATGAATAGTTATGAGAAAATGTTAAATGAGATTAACGAAGAAGTGGAGGGTAGTGGTAGTGACAGCAGCAGTGGGAAAAATCAACTACCCATATACTGACTTGATCAGTCTCTCACAAAGATCAGAGAGCAATAAATTACAGCTTTCCATAAAACACAGCGCAACCAGAAAACTACAGCTGATTCCAACTTTTAATAAACTCATTTTTATTTCTCCATAAAACATTGAATTTCACACACTTGCATAAGACAGAACTTTAAAAAATTCCCACAATTGTTTAAATCAATTTAGGGAATTTGGCCACAGAAATGTGCAGAATAAACTTTTAATAAACTCAGATTAGAATGAGTATTGGTCCCCAACTACACCCATTTTCTGAAATCATGTTATCATTTGAAAGATGGGCAGCTGAGGCACTGTTTCAAGTATCCTTGTGTCCTCAGTGTGGACACTTCTGTTTCAGACTCCTCCGTTTTCATCACCTCTGAAACCCAATAATGATGATTCAGGTTTAAGATTTAGGACCTAAGAAAGGTATTAGCTTGTCCATGCAACACTCCACCATTGATAATTTTAAACTCTTTATTTAGTAAACTGTCCAGTTTAGGACTACTAATAATCTCTGTGGATGGCTATTTTCACAGGGTTTACTGCCAGAAAAAATATGGGTGTAACTTAACATTGCTTTTTCAAAATTAATGCACATGTCTGATCTTCCGGTATTTATTTAGGTTTCCTGAGGGCCAAAAGCAACAAGAGACACAACCGGATGCAAGATACAAACCAGGAAATACTTCTAGAGATGGAATTAAGGCTGTATTTAAAAATACAGCTTCCTGTTTAGCACATTCTCATTAAACCAGAAAAGAGGGTCCTGGTGTTCTTGCAAACCATTTCTCTCAGAAAAACAAAGCAACAAAAAGTCACTTCAAGCTGCACTTTTTTAAGCAGTTAATAATCACCTGTCATATCAAAATATGAACATTGACTGCAACACATCCAATAGCAACTCTCATGAAAAACCTTAATTTTAATGTTTTCATGTTGCTAACACAGTTCATAAACTGCATTATTATTTGTATGGTTGAGTTGTCACTCTGAATCAAATCCTGCCCTCAAATTTCTTCCCTGATTTTGAAAGTGAGGCCTTATAGTTATGTGCATTAATTCTAACTTATCTGATTTTCAACACAAGACAATATTTGTGCATTAGTAGCATTACAACACAGCACTTTTACTATAACACTTAGTAATGCTATTTCACCATAAAGATGTGATGGGCCAGAATCTCTATTTTTTCCCTCATTCTTGAAAACAGCACTCTACTTTTTCCAGGAATCAATCACTCTTACTGTCCAAAGCAGATGGATTTTTTTTTTTCCACTAGATACAGGTGTAATACATATATTTCTGAATTTTTTAATAAGGATTAAAATTTTTCACTTTATAAAGAACTGATATTTACTCCACCCCAGCATGGAACCAAAGCCTTTATGAAAATGTGCAAAATCCACAGAAGGCATCAGGGGCCAGAGCACTCAGCAGGTCCATGCCAAAGAGCCAGGCTCAAGTTTTTGCTCTGCCAGACTCCCAAATGTTTCAACTGATCCCTTCTACACCCAGATGGGTGTGCTAATGTTTCCTAAAATATGAAGAGAGCAAACTTTCTCTCAATTTCCCAAACAGCTCACAGAAGCAGCCCCAAGTTTTCCTGAAAAAGATCAAATGTTGACACACTTTTTGAATAAAGCCCCACATTTTTTCAGTATGTCTCAGGTTTTCTCTTTTTCAGTACTGCAAGTACATCAAATTAAGATACTCTTTGTTATCTGCCTGAGGATGAATCCAAGGTGCAAGTATGAGTGATTTGCTATCAAAATAAAATGATGGATGTTGCCCTCTGCTTTTTATATTAATCTGAATTTTCATATTCAGTAGCACTAGCTTAAGTCACCAGTGACAGAAGTTTCTAGTACAGAAAATATATGGCAATCTCTTTTTTTAAGCATTCTTTGGTACCCAATACAGAAAGCTGTTTCAAACTGATTCATTCAAGAACTACTGAGGAAATAAGAAAAAAGACCAGCAAGTATTTAAAAACTATTCATTTTTAAAATAAGAGATTTTGAGATAGATGTGTTGGTGGTAAAGATATAACTTCAAATGAGCAAGCTCAAAACCTTGTTTCGTTTGGTACAGAACCCTAAATTAAATAACATTTCTTGAATTTTCGTGTAATTTGACTATCTTATATTTATATATTTTATTTCCTCCAATACCAATTCCATTCCAAAAACCTTCTTCCTTCCTCCACTTTCAAGCTGCTATAAGAAATAAGTGGGATAATTTACAGAAAAAGCATATGTTGCAGAATTTAACTTGGGGAAAAAAAATTGAGTGCAGGTTACCATGTTATACGATGTAAGGAATCATATAATGATTTGACAATATTCAGTTATGCCAGGACTGACCTTTTCAAAAAAGATGAACTTATTTTCAGAGAATAAGGATAATCTGAAGTCCATATTTACAAAAATATATCAGAATAGATTAAACTATTAGAATTAAACTATTAAACTATAGAATCACTATATCTACCACACTAAAGTTAGTACAACTCTTTACAAGGAATAACATTATGAATAATCACCAAAGTTTAAATTCTTCAGTTAAAATGTACATGTGTTCTTTGGTCATCAATCCTCCCTAACCAGATACCATCATAGTACATTCAAAACTATGATGAGTATACAAAAAGAGTGTGAGAAAAAATTGGGATCTAGGAGCTATAGACTTGTCCATCCCCTCTCAATTTCCCACAGCATCAAGAGGGCTAAAAGGAGATGCTTCTTCAAACAACAAATAGATTAAATCCTGGAACTGCTTACTTCAGGATACTGAAATGGATGCAAAAAGCAACTGTAAGTCAGGTGACAAAATCACTCTAAAGTATTACAGTCTATCAATTTCCACTTGGGGAAGTCCTGAGATTGCTGCAGATGGAGAGCAGAACATGCGTTTGCCTTGTACTCTCACCTACAAATCCTCTGTTGGCCTCTGACAGGAAGAATATTGAACCAGAAGACAGTTAAACTTGCATTCCAGTCTACTGATAGGAGAAGCTACAATAATTTTAGCTTCAACAGATCCCAAGGATATACAGACAGATAATAATCCAACTTACAACTGTTTATTCTTCACAAACAACTATTTAGAGAGTTTCAGCCATATTGAAAGTGCGAGTACTTGCTCTTTCTTCTAAAGTAAAAACATGTTTGGAGCCGAAGATTGCCTTCTGTAATGATCACCAATATTCTGCTGAGCAAGTCACAAGTAAACAAAAATGACTAAAATGTAATTTTCCACATAAATTGCTTTAGTCACTAGCAAGAAGAGGAATATGAACAATGTGCTTTTGAAGTCAAATTTCATCTTTTCTAGAATAGCAACATTTAACAGCAATCATAACAGGTGTGCTTATGGGGAAAAAGATTCATAAATCTCTTTCTTAGTTATGAGTCAAAGTAACTTATCCATGATTTCTCAACAGTTTAAAATAATTTTTTATAAAATTCACAACAATACATGCCATGCAAGTATTTAGTTCGATATTCCAGCTTGCTTGTGGGTACTCTGCTATCACCCACTCAGGAATCTTCCACTCTAGCTTGATTACTCTCTCCTTATCTCTGAGTTGGTATAAAGAGAAGAATGCAAGTTTGGACCTTTATGTAGAGGATGTAGTGAGATATTCAGGAATAATTTAAAATAGCTGGTACTGGAAATTAAACGGAAAATCACCACTAAAATAAAGACATTTGCATCATCAAGAAATTGTGACACAGTCAACTGCATTTTGTGAAAACAGAAGAAACATTACATGAGAGTTATAGAAAAAAATTACTAAATGTATATTAGCCCATAATATTAGCCCATAAACAATGGGAGATATAATGTAATTTTGTATTTTGATCTTCCTCTCTAACAATCAAGGTTCTTTACTAATAAAGTAACAAGAGTTTATTCTAAAGAATTCAACAAAACTAAAGAGTTTTGCAGACAGGATGTTTTCTTGTGTTGTCTTCTACATTGCCAGACTAGTCCATGGAATGTTCTGTATTTTCAGGATTCTGATTTTTGTCTTAAATTGTCAATCAACTGTGGACAGCTCATTTTACTGTATTTCTGTACCAGTTAATTCAACAAGAATACAAAATAATGGAGAAAGAATATGAGCCAAATTTAACTTCCAGTGTTTACATGAGTTTTTTCCTCTTCTTCCTCTTCTTGTGCTTTACATACCTATGTCAACTCTTCATCAACTTGTTTTTTGTTAGTCCCATGATACAGATGACTGGTTCTCAATTACTTCTGCCAATCTAATTTTAATTATTGTATTATGTTATTAAAACTTAAATCTACAGGTGAAATATATCTGCTTATTAAGTGCTGAAGAAAGTTATTCAGAAAACATTCTCCCTGTAATGAGAGATTTCAGAAAACTCTTATCTGTACCAGAAAATATAATTTTTCTTTTCAGATTTTGTCTATTTGTACAAGATATGGCATGCAAGGCTTCCCTCTTTTCCTGTTTTTACCTATTCTATTATCCCTTAAAATAATAACCAGTTTTCCAATTAGGTCACAAAAATACTTGCCATTTAAGAGGAAAGTTATATTTTAAAATAATTTAGTTTAAAATGCATGGAGAAAAGCACAGATGAATCAGCTCTTTCAAAGAAACCTGTGCATGAAACATACTGATTTTAATTAATATATACAGCACTATGACACATAAGCTTTAGAATGTATGCAAAAACCTAATATAACACATTCTGTTACACTAAATCCTACTCCTTCAAAAAGGGAAGAAGGATTTCAAATAAGAATATGCAATAAACATTATATTTTCCTTATCCAATTCACATCCAAAATATCTAAAGAAAAAGTAACATCAAAAATTGGTAGGAACATATTTTTAAACAGTTTGTTACCCAAAACAAACAACCTTGGCCTATCTGGTAAGCTTTGAAAAATGTAAGTAAATTTTACAACAACTGGGCAAGATCAAGATATTTGGTACTCAGAACAAGATTTCAAATGTTGATATGGGATCAAGGCACCAAAATGTTGCACTTGACCATGATACTCAAATGAGCAAAACTGTAATGCCAGAATTTCTGTCCATTCTGATTTGGACGCCAGCCCAGTTTCCATACTGACACTGAGTACCTCCCTCTACTTCTGTTTACTTGATGTGTTACATTTGCTACATAGCCACTGTTTAAAATACAGAAGGTGAAAACATGTAGTTTGATTGAAGACTAATAGCAGTTCTGGAAAGAAAAACAGTAAAACAAACCAAAACCCACCAAGCCTTTAGTGAAATGCTAAAAGTAATTAGTACAACACCTAAAATATATTTCTTATCAGCTCACAGATTTAAACTACAGTGTTACTTCTGAAATAAACAGAACAAAAATATTTTAAATTAAGTACCTTTAGATTTTTTATTGGAGTTTCTTTTGCTTCTTGGACTTCTTTTTCCACCTGGCTGTTTTTCTGTAATAGGCTTTTCCTCCAGCTGAGGGTCCATATGGACATTTACAGATCTTCTCTCAGTCTCACTTTCTTTACAGCTTGGGATCCAGTCTCCACTGTCCATATTTTCATTATTATTGATGTTATCCTGTTCACCTTTATCCTGTCGTCCCATAGCAGTGTTACTACTGATCAGAACTTCATTCCCATCACTATCAAGTTGATTTTCATTTTCATCAGCTGAAGGAATCAAACGAGATGCCAAACTTTCTACCCTATAGTTAGCAGGAAGACTGTCCTTTGAGTCTATTTGCAGATCATTTGGTGGAAAGTCTCTGTCATCCATTAGAGCGTTACTTGTTGAACCACTTAATCTCCCTCCAGATATTTTTTGACCTGAAATATAAAATGGAATGAAGCATTTACAATATGTATAGCATAACAGATAAATTATGTCAGCCAGTGCCAGCCACTAAAGACTCACATCAGCCAAGTGATACACCTTAAAAGTATGGGGAATTTCTTTCATTCACTGACCTACTTAAAGTCTTAGCACGGGGGATATTTACATACAAAAAACCCTATGAAGTTATATTTTTATCCAATTATAATTGGATAAATTATAGCTACCTGAGCAAAAGCACAGCTGTTCTTTACAACAGTGCTTCTGTTGTTACAGCTGAGGTAATGAGAAAAACAAAAAGATAAACAGACGCTACCTCACATCTCCCTTCCCCCCAACCCTTTAAATCTATGGCTAAAACAAAAGCATTCTTGTCAAATAAGATCACAGTTTGCCTGAAATAAAAATAATAAAAATAAACCTGGGAGGAATAAAAGTAAACAACTTTTAATTCTATCAGTGATGGTATCAGATCAAACTTGCAGGTAGATTAACTGTGTTATCAGAGTTAGATGGAAGTAGAACTTGTTTATTGCCTCAATTGTTACATTATTTTCAAAAAAACATTCAACATGTGTTCAGTATACACAGAAGCAGATGGTTTGTTGATAAAAAACCAAAACCCCCACCTACTCTCAGCAGGAGTCAATTTTCCCTATTTGTGAAGGTGCAACTCCAATCAATGCCGCAATTGGACACATTCATGAGAACAAAGAAAGAGTAACTTACCAGAAGACCTACATGTTACAGGACCACTGTTGTATCAGTTCCTATCTTTAGCCTTTAGAAGCAGGGCAATACTGCTCTTTAATTTAGCAACCATATACCCGAAATACAGCTCCATTTTGTCCATCTGACTAGATTTAGCTCACGTTTTTAACAGTGAAGCCAAGAAACAGCAAGCACTCTTGTATTATAGAAGAGCTTACAGCAGCTTCCTATACTTTCCCTTAAATGAAAGTACATTTTAGGATACCTGTTTTCTCCAGGCTTTCTTAACTCTTTGTATACACAAGTTGAGTAAACAAAACACACACTTGGGAAGTTTGCAAGATAGTCTTTCATTTTACTTGCTAGAAGAATTAAAGTTGTGAGAAAATGGAAAAAAATTTGGAAGAATAAGCAGGCTTTCCTTCATACATAGCAACATATTTCTGACAAAGATTACTAAAGAGATTTTACCCAAATCATTCCTTCATAAACTTCATAGTTGCTAAAAAGACGGAGGAAAAAAAAGAAAAGAAAAGAAAAAGAAAACATCACTCCTATCTTAGGCACAAGAAAAAGGATTTAGGGGGCTATAGGCTGCTCTGCCTCACCTCAGTCCTCAGAAGATATTAACAGCAAGTTGAGGCATTTTCAAACATCTGAAGGATAAGGTGGTCATCAAGTGCAGTCAACATGGACTTATGATGGATAAGTTGTGGTTCTACAAAACTAGCTGACTTGCTTAGCAGAATTAGGGGGAATAAAGGATGCGATTTACTGTGCCTGGCTTTTGACACTGTCTCCAACAACGTGCTCACAGACAACCACACAAAGTACAGGCCTGGTTAAATAGATGGTGAGGAGTTCCACAGAAGCATATAGAGGGCAACAAGCCACCACCAACTGGGCAACACAAAAGCAAAAGCCAGCACCACCCAGGCCAACTCCATCTCTGCTTCCAACCTGAAGAACTGGCTAACCACTTCCAGCCATACCAGTCTAACAAAAATTACTGCCTACCCTAAAACATAAGCAGCAGCAAGGAAGGTTAGACTGGACATCAGGAAGTATTTCTTTACTAAGGGTGTGGTCAAACACTCCAACAGGCTTCCTAGAGAGGTGGCCAATGTCCCAAGCCTGTCCAAGAGGCATTTGGACAATGCTCTTTGCAACACACTTGGTCAGCCCTGAGTTGCTCAGGACAAGGTACTAACTATAGGTCCCTTCTGATGGAAATATTCTATCTTGGTATAGAAGAATTATGCATTGTACATAGAGATGAAAGTTGTGTTTTCCTTCGGCAGCCACATTATATGATAATTGATTTTCCTTGAGCACCAGAAAGACACACTCACTAGAAGGATGCTCCTTAATCAAACCATTTTCTCTCTAAGAGAGTTAAACACAAAATTAAAGGTTAATAGGAGGACAGAACTTCAATCAGAGCAGAAAGAATCAGAACTAGATATTATTAGACACTCATACTACAGTTAGGTTGATTTATTGGTACCTGTTCTAAAGCACTAAAAAAATAATCCCAAACACAGTATTATATTTGAAAAGTTCACTTTTTAGTCTTCATGCCACATGAAATAATAACTACTGCTGCTTTCCCCAGCTCATAGATCAAATAGTGCATCAAAAGAGGTTGAAGTAAATTGCCCAAACCCAATGATAATAATAGTAATAATAAAAAAATCAGAATGCCCTACCATCACTGTCTTGCTTCCACCTATAGAAAACAGTTTATTTTTCCAACAGACAGCAAAGGGGAAGAGAAATACAAATGCATTTGAACAAGGTGTTTCCTACTTAATTGTGAAAAACGAGAAAAGATGCTTTTGACAAGTGATATTTGCTGTAGATGAAGCTAACATTCTGATGGAAAATGTTAACTCACTTCCTTTGAACATATGGCTAAAATGACAGCTGAGAAGCTGGAAAGCAGAACATTTCTTGGTTTATTGCTTAAAACTCAGTATTTCTCCAAATAGAAGTAGCCCTGAAAATCTATTCATTTCTACAATCCTTAAGGCTCCTTAGAGGATGAAAACCCAAAAAGAGCTAGCTCAAGGAATTTAGAACACTCCTGCCCTTGATCTTTTACAAGTATTTCCCCTCCCACTCAGATGAAATTTTTTACCTTCTTGATTTCAATGCTGCTATTTGCAATTCCTTTTGAGTCTACCAAGGCACTAGGCAGGTATCAAAGTCAATCTAAATCCTGTGAGAATTAACTTTAGCTCTGTCTAAAAACAAAAGTAGAAACACTTATTTATAAACAAAAATGAAATTAAAATCTCTTTAGATTTAAACGCTATTTAGAAGACCATTCACATGGGTTCCTGTATTTACTGAATTTATTTCACTGAAATGAATTGCAAAACAAACAACATGTTAAGAAGAAAATGTTTGTTTCTTGATAGGACCATCTTTCCTCCCTTCACTGGTTGCCCAAAACTGAAATAATAGCTAACACTGAGTAGAACTGTGCTGACCTTTGTTAAAAGGTACTGATGAATAAAAGTGCTTCAGTTGCCACACAGATTCACACAATTGGCACATATAATCATGGTGATTATAGCACAAATGAAAAATAAAATGGAAAATATTTGTCAAGTGGCAAAAAAACTAAGTCTGTATTGAAGAAATTACTTGTATGTTTGTTTACTTTAGGACAAACAGTATGTATATTATATTAAATGGCCCTCGCTTGCAATTTAGGTCAGCTCCAGTTTTAAAAGGCCCATACTCATTAGTGTTCCCTTTCATGTACTTCATACAACTTAATATAATTTTGACAACTTTTTCACTTGCTCGCTTTTTTCCATCCATCTTTACTATGGAAATATAACCTTAAATATAGCTGTTTGGGGAAAAAAAAAAAAAAAAAAAAGAAGGTAGTAAGAAGTGAGATAATTCCTGACCTGGCGTGGATAAAATTTGAAGAGGGCATTAGAAACAAAACAGAACAAAACTACAAACACCACCAGGCCCCTTAAACTTAAACTTCCATACTAACTCAGCTCCTTTATCCTGAATAGCTGGTAGGCTCTGTGAATGTTTACTGAAGGTACAGTGTAGTATTTAATTTACTGATCTTGGATGTATCTTACAGAACAATCCAGATCATAACATTGTTTTTTCTAACATTCAAAAGTTTACATCAAACTGTTTTTCTAATTCCATTTGATTGGTTTCATATAGCTTTGTCAAAGACACTATTTTCCCTCTCTCATTCTCATGCCATTTAATTTTCCTGTGTTAATTAAAGAGATTTAAATATTTTAATTCTTTGAAAGTCAGCTTCCCCACTATATCACAAATGCTGCTCTATTCAAAATGAATGGTCATTTCAAATTGGTTCCCAGTGGTGCTTCTATGCAATATTTTCATTAACTTTGATGATAAACCACAATAGCAGCATATAGTCTGCAGCTAGAAGCAGTTATAAGCATTTTTGAGGATTTAATTCAAAATTAATTGTAGCAATAAGTGCTCCAAAAGGAATGACATAAAATTCACTAACACAAACAGAATATCCCTAAACTCCTGGAATAAATACACACATCTATCCGAAATAGGGATTAACCAGTCATTTTGTTATTATGAAAAGCATCTCAAAGAGAAACTGGACTGAAAACTGACCATGAGTCCAAGCTTTCTTTTTCTCCTGAGATATAATACAGCAAGTGTTACATGCGCAAGAGAATTCATTATGTTCTACCAGGCACTTATCAATTACAACCATGGGGACTGTTCTGTGCACCGTATACACAGAACAAGATGTACACAAGAGAACCTGGATCCCAGCAAAAGAAGAGTTTTAGAAAGGAAAGGTCAGCACTACATCTGCCAATAGCAATTCAGTCTAAACGAGGTCACTGTGTAAACAACAAACAGGCTGTCTGGAGATGTTGTGGAATCCCCATCATTATAAAGAAGAAATCCAGCAAGTCTCAGGTTTAAGCACAGGTAAAAAATAGGCACTAACTATTATTAAAGTAATTTGGTTTTCTATATTCTTGCAGGGGTTTTAGTATCTTCTCCCACACATACTTTTTTACTTAAATACAAGCAACTTTTCAAGTCCTAGAGAGAAAAAAATACCAAAATTGATTCCAGGAAATCATTATGTTTACATAATGCTTCTACCATTAGAACAAAAAGAGGAAAACTGCATAAATACTAAAATTTAAAAATAACTAAACCTAATCCATATATTTCTTAAGAATAAATCTGATGATCTTTCTGATAGCTGGTGTGAAGATACTATCATTTGAAT